TCTTGAAGTTGGGTTGGTTGGTCTAAATATGAAAGGAAGAGAGACCAGATTCTTAGCAGGGAGTGAGCCTTGGGGTCCAAAAGTTGGCATTCCCTTTCTGGGGGTGGTGAGTTTGCTTTTTAAAAGGGTTGTTTTTAATTTTTTTTAAAAATTATGTGTTATGTGTGTGAGTATATGCATGTCAGTGCAGTTACCCATAGAGACCAGAAGAGGGCGTCAGATACCCCTGGAGTTGAGTCACAGACTGTTGTGAGCCTCTATGTAGGTGCTGGGAACTGGACTGGAGTCCTCTGCCAGTGTAACAAGTGCTCTTAGCTGCTGAGCCATCTCTCCAGCCTAGGCATATGCTTTCGGGATCTTATTTTCGGTGTGTGTATGGTGTATGTGCATTTGTTTTTGTGTATGTGTGCTTGTGGGCATGCATGCACACCTATGCATATGCTCGCAGAGGCCAGACACTGTGTGTCCTCTTCTACAGTCTCTATACATTTTGGGGTTGTTTGATTGTTTTTATTTTGAGATAGAGTTTCTCATAGAACCTAAACCTCCCTAATTGGCTAAATTGGCCAGCATGCTCTGGGGACACCCCTGTCCCCCGAACCCCTTAGTATATAAGCTACAGGTACCACCATACCTGACCTTTCTGGGGGTGCTGTGACTCCTAACTTGAGTACCTGTGCCTGCACAGCAGACACTTTACCATTGAGTCACCTCCCCAGCCTGGAGTATACATTAAACAGCTAGGCTTACCACAGTTGGCATTCTGTGCTCCCATAATTTGCTAAATAATCTAACAAAGGCACAGTAAAGAAAGACAGAAGAAAAACAAACAAACAATTCCCATATGATGTGACTAGGTGACACTTTTCCTTGTTCAAGACTGCACAAGTGACCAGGGATTGTAATTTATTGATTACTGCCTCTGGGGCCAGCACTGTTTGAAGCGCTTTCCTGGGGTTCTTGCTCTGGGATATGGAATGCTTGGAAAGGAAGGCAGGTCCCAGGGATATGTGACCTGCACCGGGCTGCGCAGTTAGGGCAGAAGCGGCATCTTCCCCTCCCTCTGCAGTTGCCCCAGCTTCCTTCCCTGCTGCCTTTCTAACCGAAGGCTTCCTCCTCCGGTCCTGTTTTTCTTTTCGTTTTTCTGCCACTACATCTGGTAATGGTGAAAGGGAACTGATCTGCCCTCCTCAGAATGAAACTAGAGGTCTCTGCATGCAGTGGAACTTTTATTCCTGTCTGGCAGCGACTTGTAAATGGGGAAACTAAGTCACAGGGTGCAGGTGGGGTGCCAGCCCCAAAGGAACTGACTCCAAGTCCCAGGCTGGCTCCCAGCTACTTCCTGGGAGTCTGACTTCTGTTTTGCGTTGTTTTTATCTTATCTCCAGAGCTTTGCCACCAGCTCCCTGTGCTGCTTTCCCTGTTGAGTAAGAACTCTGAGGATTATCACTAATCTCAGCTGAAACGGAGAGGCCAAGGTGTTCCAGGTAGGATCGACCTGAGGGCTACTCTGGCGGCTAAGCAGAAGTGGGAGGGAACCGAGGCTCAGTGAGGTTGAGTGCTAGGCCAAGGAAACAGGCCGCCCTGTAGTGGGGTGGAGACCAGTGCCCGGTTCCTCCAGGCTCTTCTCATTTTGAACACCTGTTACCGGGACACTCACTGGCAGAAGAACTCTTAGTGTTCTCCCTTCCTCTCTGGCGCCTCAGATTTGACAGAAAAAATCTTTTTGTGCCTGACCTGCTTGGTTTTGGCCTTGTTTTTATTTGTGTCTCTCCCACCTTCTCTTCTCTCCTCCTCTACCCTTCTGTCCCCATCTCATATTTTTGAGCCGAAGTCTTACTGTGTAGTTCAGGCTGGCCCCAAACTCAGGAACCTTCCACTTCAGCTCCCTCCTGTCAGAAAGGGGGTCCACTGTGCTCAGCTTTGTTTTGCTTTTTAATTTACTTACATTGTGCCTTTGATTGCGTTGTTTTCAAATTTATTCATAAATTGACTTATGTTGTTTGTTACTTATGGAATGGACAGGTGATATATGCATTTTGTATTTTAAAAGAAGCACAAAGGAAAAAAATGAAAGAAGTGAAAAGCAATTTCTCTTCCGCATCCCCCAGTCCCCTGGCTCCCCTCCCCAGAGGCATCTGATGTTACTGGTAGTGTCATGGTAACCTTCCAGGGCTATCTCGGTCAATCCACACGTTGGGTCGTTCTCTTTGAGAACACATAGCACCAACTCATTATTTTTAATGGCTGCATGGAATTAAATTATTTTGTTAGTTATTCCCTGATGGATGGACATGGATTGGCTTCTAGTTTGTGCCCTACAGACAATACAGCAGCTCATAATACTCACATTCCAGGCCTTTATACACCTGTATACAAGTCGGAACCACTCAAAGCAGGACTACTAGGTCAAAGAGCACATGCATTGTAAATACCCATAATTCTTTTCTTATTAAAATGTTTTCAAATTTATTTTATGTGTGTGAGTGCTTTGCCTCCATATATATGTATTTATATGAACATGTATGTATGTATGTATCTGGTGCCTGTGGAGGGTAGAAGAGGGGGTTGGAACCCCTGGACCTGGAGTTTCAATGACTGTAGGTGCTGAGAACAGAAGCTAGGTTCTCTTGGAGAGGAGCAAGTGCTCTTAACCACCGAGCCCTCTCTTGAGCCCCTGTGGAGAATTCTTGCCTGGACATCCAAAGCGACTGTGCGACTTTCTAGTCCTGCTCTCAGTACTTGCGGGCTCTGCATCCTCTGTGTGTGTAAAACCTGAGCATGTTGCCAGTACATGTGGTTTTAATTTTTCTTCTGCTATACCTGAGTTTGAGCTGTTTGCACGAACTAGGTTTCTGTGGACTGAATGCCTTCAAGAACAGAAATTTATTTCTACAGTTTTGGAAGCCTAAGACTAAAGTACTGCTCCATCTCAATCCTGTTGTGGTTCCCTTCCGTGCACAGGGGAGAATCACATTTCCTGTGACTCGTCTGGGCGCTCTGGGCTCAAGACAAAGACTCCATCCTCGTGCTAATTACCATGTCCAAACTCAGAAGGTCCTTTGTAGGCTTTCAACATGAATTGTGAGTTCGACTCAAATAGCCAGTCCTAGCAGGAAATTAAGTTGAGTCGTGGGTTTTTTTTTTTTTTTTATGACAGTTTCTCTATGTAGCCCTGGCTGTCCTGGAACTCACTCTGCCTCTCGAGTGCTGGGATTAAAGGCATGTTACACCAACGCTGGGCATTTTTTTTTTTTAACGCTGTAAAGCGTTCACGTGCTTTTTTTGTTCATTTTTCTATTCTGTTTTGCTCCAGGACAGCACCCCATCAACTCCCTTCTTTTCCTTTCCTCTCAACTTGCTTAGACTATGACCAGCTAGTAGGCTGCAGTCTGTATATATGAACACGTGTGGACCCCACATGTACTGCTGAGATCTCAGTAACACCACGCATGAGGCTGAAGTGTCTGGTTCCCCCCCTTGTATGCTTCCCTCAATAGCATCTGGACAGATTTGTGACTTTGGCTTGAGGTCAGCAGGTCAGCAATTAGGATTTGCTTTCGACAGATTAGGAAATGAGGGACTGAGCTAAACTTTGCTGGGCAGGGTCACAGCTAGGGATAGCAAAGCCAGTTCCTGGCATCTTTTCCAGAGCCTTCTGGATTCACTCATGGCCTTGAGCCACTCAGTGACAGAGTTTGGGGATGTCACTGCATCCCTCTGAGCTAGCTCACTTAAGGCGCTGAGGATTCTGTGAAGTAACATGTGAACCGCCTCCTCCGTTCCAGGGTTGAAGGTTTAAGATAGTTTTTTTTTTTTTTTTTTTTTTTTTTTTGGTTTTTCGAGACAGGGTTTCTCTGTGGCTTTGGAGCCTGTCCTGGAACTAGCTCTTGTAGACCAGGCTGGCCTTGAACTCACAGAGATCCGCCTGTCTCTGTCTCCCGAGTGCTGGGATTAAAGGCGTGCACCACCACCGCCCGGCTCAAAGCTCTATTCCTAAACCAGTTTTCTCTCCCGGTTATTACTCTTCCCCCTACCTGTCTCTCCTGCATTTTACTCTTCCTTTGTTTCTTTGAGACGGTGTATAGCCCAGGCTGGCCTGGACCTCCCAGAGATCCGCCTGCCTCTGCCTCCTGGGATTATAGGCATTCCCCACCACGCCCTGCTAATTCTACCTCTTTGCAAGCCAACTTCCCCCCTTCCTATATTTTGGGGCTGAAACCTGAAGAGTTGGAAGACAGTCTCCAGTATCAGCACTTCTCCCATTAACTCTGAAGAAATGCTGGTTTCTGAACGCTTGGAGCCAGAGGAAGGGCCTGCTCCCCACACAGCACAGTGTGAATGTGGCACACAGCAAGAGCGCAGGGGACATTTATGCAAGAAACGCCTGCCTGCATGCACAGTGGGCGCAAAGCGTTCCCGAAGCACGTGTGCTTTAGGAGCTCAGCGCTCGGTAGGCAGCGAACCCCGAGCCCTGGCTTCGCGATGCAAGGGTTCGAATCCCCGACCTTGGGCAAGCGCCTCGCTGCCTTTGTGTCTCTGAGTGCCACTCCTCCGCCCGGTGCGTAGCGGCTGGCGGGCGGGCGGTTTCGAGGACACTACTCAGCACGATCGGACAGGCCGGCCGGGCCCACGCCGCGCCCAGGCCCGAGCAGCTACCAGGGCGCGGAGGCGGCTCCGGGAAGCCGCGGCCTCCTCGGGCCGCGATAGTCGCGCGCCCGCGCCCAGGGCGGGGCGTCCACGCAGCCCCGCCGTCCCGCGGCCGCCCGCACCTCTTTCTCTCCCTCTCTCCCTCCCTCTCTCCCTCACTCGCTCGCTCCGTCCCCGCTCCGAGAGGGCCGCGCTCGGCTCAGCAGCGCCTCCCGCGAGCCGCCACTGCCGCCGCCGCGGCCCCTCCCCCGCCCCCCGCGCGGCCGGCGCCCGTCACGTGACGCGCCGCAGCCAATGGCGGGCCGAGCCGCGGTCGGCGGCCGCCATTGCTGTCAGAGCGAGCGAGCCCGGGGAGGGAGGAGAAGCGCGGCCGACTGGGGAGGAGGAGGGGGGGGTGGGGAGGAAGAGGAAGGAGGGGACGGCGCTCGGCTGCCGGGGTCGCCCGCTGGCTTCGTCCGCACCCCCCCCTTCGCGGGCTCGCGCGGCGGCGGCGGCGGCGGCTCGGGGCGGCTGCGGGGCTCGCGTGCCTCACGCGCCGGCGCGGCCGAGGGCGAGTCGCCCGCCGGCTGGAGATAAACAAGGCGGCCGACGAGGCGGCGAGGCGGAGGCGGAGGCGGCGGCCCTGCGCTACAGAGGCGGGCGGCGTTGCCGCGCCGCGCCCCCCGCCGCCGCCGCCGCCGCCCTCGGGCCTCCCGCGCGGGCCTCGCGCCCCGGTGCCTGCGAGCCGCCGCCCGGCCCGGCCCGCTCCGACATGCCCCGCTCTGGCGGCCGGGCTCGCGGAGGACCATGACCGCCGCGGCGAACTGGGTGGCGAACGGGGCGAGCCTGGAGGATTGTCACTCCAACCTCTTCTCGCTGGTGAGTGGCGGGGCGGGGGCCCGGGTGGGGGGCGCGACCTCCCCGCCGCGCAACTTTCTCCTCCCGGAGCCCTGGCGGCGTCGGCGAGCGCGGCGCCCGGCGTGGACGTGCGTGTGGAAGTCGGGGCGCTGCGGACGCCGGGGCGCGCTCGGAGCGCCCACCTCCGTGGCAATCACACCCCCCTTCCCCTCCCCTTCCCCCTCGGTTCTTCTTTTTTTTTTTTTTCCTCCTCCTTCCCGAAATGTGAAAGGCTTAGAATTCTGCCTGTGCAGCCGCCGGCGCCGGCGATGTGCAGGCTCGTCCTCTTCCCCCCGACCGGATCGTCCGCTCTCCCGCGTCTGCCTTCTGAATTTTCTTTTCTTTTCTTTCTTTCTTTCTTTCTTTCTTTCCTTTTTTTTTTTTAAATTCCACAATGACACCTGCGATTTCGCCCGAAAACAGTTGATGGAAGGCGATTGTGTCAGGGAAAGGACTCTGGCAGCGGAAGCTCGCGCGGTTGTAAACACGGACAGCCGCCCGCCTCTCGGGGCTTACTCTGCCGGAGAGCGGGAGAGCCATTGCTCGGAACCCACGGAAGGTGGAGGAAGCTGCTGCTCCTCAACTCCCCTCCGCTGCCTTTAAAAACTGTTTTCTCTGCCCTAGCAAGGAAAACACACATACACACACACACACACACACACACACACACACACACACACACACACAAGCAACTAGCTGGGCGGTTTGATAACATCGCTTTTATCTGCCTTCGCCTCTCCTCTCTCCCGCTCTCGCCTCTCTGATAATTGACAACTTTTGCTTTGGAAGTGCATCGCCTGCCTTAATCTCGAAGCATTTAGGGTGTCAATTGTTCTCCTGGAAGCCTGGCACCCGACGATGGCGGCTCGGTTCATCGAAATTAAAAGTGTATAGGGCTCCAGCAACTCTTTCCTGGCGGTGGCAGTGACATTTGGTAGTAAATGCCATCTTTGCTTTTTATTGGGTCGTATTACCTAGCTCTGAAAACATTCGCGTTGTTAAACCTGGCGCTAAGACTGATAATAGGAATGCGTGGTCCTTAAATACACGCTTTGTGCCTGAGTTACCGCAGTGGAGCTATGTGCCCGAGAGAGTAGGAATTTGTTTAAATATTGAGCAAAGATTTGTAAACAGATGTAAGGCAATTATGTTTCAAGCGTAGAATATAATTGGAAAATTGGTTGAACGGCTTATTTAATTTAGCTTTAAAAACTGAACTTATTTAGAGTTGTGTGCCCAATTTTTTTGGGGGGGGGTTGGAGGATGCTGCCTTTTGGAGAACATACATTTATTGCAAATTATTTTCTGGAACCCCTGCTGTATATAGAAGCTTTATTTCATCTCAGTCCTTGTTTACACTGGATAAATAATTTAGTGTTGAAATCGTAATTAGTTACATTTAATTATGGGTGGCATAGATGCTTTTTGTCCCCTTGGAGACTAGTGGAGAAATACGAATTCTTGCCAACTTTGAAAGTGTCATTTTATTTTCATGCAGATAAAGAAATAAAGCATGCATTTGGCCTAAAAAGACCTAGTGACATAGTATTTCTACTTCTACTCGTGTAACAGCGGGCTGATTTCTTCTCACCCTGAGTTTTATCTAGACGCTGAGTCTTAAGATTCAGTTAGAAGTTGGGGTTCTTCCCTTCGCTACTGTGGTAATTTATCCTTGATCTTTTGATAAACTGCTTTTGCCTTCCTGCCCCCCTTCCCTGCCTGTCATTTAGTATTAGGTTCAGGGACCTTCATAGATCAGCAAACGTATTGATTAGGGGGTATTTAAAATGGTTTTGTTTGGCGGCTGGGTGACCACATTGACATATTTACAGGTAATTAAAATAACCAAGTCAACCCGCATTAGTTCGGTAGAGCTCCCAAATTACCATACATCATGCTGACTAGTGATGGCTTGTGTGCATGTGGCTAATTTATACACGATGAATTGGGTGGACACATGAAGGACTATTGGAGCACAGCTGCACTGTGGGGTCTTTTCTTATCTCTGAGCTTTAAGGGGTGATAGTGTGGAGATGAGATGTTTGAAATTCTTTGCTGAAGATTCTGGGCTTTCATTTTTACTGGCCTAAGGATGCATTCTGGGTATTTCTCCTCTAAACATCTTTAAACCAAAGAGTTGACTTTTGAATATAATTTAAAGTACAATGAACTTTTTGGGTAACCCATTGGAAATGCAGAAATGCTTAGATTGGTTTAAAAATGTAGAATGCTTATATTTCCTGGTATCTGGAGATGGATAAATGCTGTTTAACTTTCAAAAAATGCCTTATTTTTACTTTATGTGCATTGATTGATGTTTTACCTGCATGTATGTCTACAAGAGGATGTCAGAGTCTTTGTAATTGTAAGTTGTTATGTGGGTGCTGGGAATTGAACCTAGGTCCTCCAGAAGAGCAGCCAGTGCTGTTAACCCCTGGGCCATCTTTACAGCCCTAAAATTTATTTTTAAAAGAAAAAAAAAGCAAATTGCAGATCGTCTTTTTTTTTTATTTCAATTTGAGAACTTTTCCTGAAGACCATTTACAGACAGCAACCTGCTGTGTTAAGAATACATTGCCTAAAGAACATAGTTGATTCCAAAAGGGAGGCAGTCATCACCTTTTCAAAATCATGTGTTGTGTCCTAAGAGTTCTAGGTACTTAGCGTTTTGTACTTTTGACATTTTGGCCGCAGTTTTGTTTCTGAGCAGAGAAGAGTTATTCTAGAAAATGTGGCTGCACGCTCACCTTATAGTAGATGATTGAAATGGAATCTGGGATAGGGCTGTGTGGAAACAGTGACCCGCCACTTTGTTATCCTGAGGTCATCAGCATGGCTTAGCAAAAGCTGGTTGAGCAATCAGGCATCTTAAGATTTTAGTTTCTAGTCTTTTACTGCATTTGTTTTCTGATATTGCCTGGAGTCCTATTTCCTACACTTTTTTTTTTTTTTTTTTTTTTGCCACCTGGGTTTTCCTAACCTGTGAAAGGCATCGATGCATCTGATGCAGACCACGGTGCTGTTTCTTATTCGACAACTGTGAAATTTGTAGCCTCGGCAGTAAATTCATGCTTTGCTGCATCTTTATAATACGAACTGTTTTTGGGTGCTGCCCTTCAAGTTTTTGGGTGACCCCTGGTTTATTCACTCACTCATAATTCAGTAAGTGCACTTAATTTTCCTTTTTTGGAAACTGTAACAGTGTACCCTATGGCTGTAAGCTCACCCTGTGGGAAGACACATTATAATTTCCAGATACCCAGTGTATCTCTTTGTTTTTCTTTTGAGATAATGTGAAGAAAGTAACTTTGTGTCCTTTAGGCTAGACTTAAGTATGCTGGGTACTAGGGCTTAAGGGAGCCAATTTTAGTTCTTAAATGTTTGTTCCACATTCAAGTTTGATTTGCTTAAAATCTCCCTGACTATAGATAATAGGGTAATGGTGTTAGATTCGCACTGAATTAAAACACATGTATACACATTAGTACTAACTTCCGACTGAGGACCATTCATTATGTATTTGAAGCTTTTAGGGGAAATTGTTGTAGACCTCATTTCCTTTTGTCTTATGAGAATTATTTTCCCCTCCAGAAAAGGAAGGTACTTGGAAATGTTGAAAACTTGAGATGTTTCAAACTTAGAAAAGAAATAAGGGGGACTGTCAAATGGAAATAAGGAAAAAGGAGATTTGCTAAGGTTTCAAAGTGTCCCAATTCTGCACACAGTTGTGTTTTTTTTCCACCCTAATTTGCAGTTTTAATATTTAAAATAAAAGTACATTTAGAGCATCTTTTTCATAATGCTTCATTTTCTTTACTGAAAATATTTATAATATGCCAGTGTGTTTTCTGTTTAGCATTTGTTGTTAGTGACACATGGCATTATAGTATTTATATATTTTTTAATGGCAATAATTGCTGCCCGGTAATGGTTGCCATATTAACCTCCAATTGCTAGTAAATATTTTTAAGTACATAATAGACAGCAATTTAAGGCATACTGTAGCAGTTTACTGGACCGTTTTAAAGAGCCATTTGTACGTGTGATGAGTTCATAATTTAAAGAGAAATGATGTACCTAAGATCTGTATGTGCCAAAGGCTTTGGCATGCTCATTGAGAAAGAAGGCTGGTTCCATTCCTCTCTCTTTGTGAAGAGAGCAGGCAGGTTTGTGTTCAAGACAGGAAGTGTTTGTTGAATGTATGCAGGCGCTTTTGTACCATTTCTTTGACCTGCTCTGGTCATTTTGTCATGAATATGTTAGATGATTTATATTGAAAAAAAGTCTCAAGGCATTTCTCTAAATATCATTGACTTAAAGTTGTGGCTTATTAATTAGTATGGAAAAACTGATCTTTTTTTGTTCACTAGCTAATTTAGCCTAGTTAATTGTGAGCTAATTGTATTCATCAAACATTTTCAGAGTTCTATACTCCGAGATGAATAAAGACAGAATTGAGATGGAACTCTGTATCTGTGTGCACAGGCATGCTGTAGATTATCTGAATGTTTTTATGAATAGTTCATTCAGCTATCAAAGTTTGATTCAGAGGTAGACTAGATATTTTTGAAGCGTTTGACTTATTTTTCAAGAGAAGATAATGTTATTTAAGCTAGTACAAGTACTGATTTGCATTCCCTTGAAAGAGGATGATATGTTTATTTCACAGGAGTTAGCCAGTGAGAGAGATTAGATAAAGCTCATGAAAATTAGAATGTGGTTGGATAGTAGGTGTGATTGGTAAATGATGCTTTATAATCATTTCTTAGAAGCACAGAGAGCAGACTCTCCAACATTGCTGCTAGTGTCCTTTAAGACACACTGCATGCGAATATGCCTGGTAGACTGTGTGTGATGCCATTTACCAGAATCTCTGATCATTTTAGAAATAATTCTGTTGTTGCAAAGAAATAACAGTACATTGCAAAGACAGTTAATTAGATAGTGTAAATTAGATAGCCTATGGGAGTAGCTTTCCCCTC